CAAGTGTGCCAAAGCTGCATGAAACTGTTGGAAATATCAAGATGTCAGAGATTCGTTTAAGTCTTGTTGCTGTGGGGTGTGTGGTACTTTGTGGGATGATGATGATGGCATGGCACAAATGAGTCTCGAGGGAGGCCACGTTAGTTACAAAAATGTTTGCTGGAGGTGTAACTGCTGGGGTGGTATCGGCGACGAGCTTCAGCATCAAGGTTGTGATTCATGGTACTGTCGTCGAAGGAGGAAGCTGCTCTATTGTGAATGTAGGTTGTATTTCAGGCAAAGTGGAATGGCAGGTTGTATCATAGATAAAGAGACCCAAGGCAGTTCCTGAAGAGTTGCAATCAAGTGTGATCGAGGCTGCGGTGCAGTGGAAAATTTGATGTACTGTAAAGCCAGAGATAGCTGGGAGGTGAATTGTAGTGTGGCAGAAATGATGAAATGAGCAGGAAGATGGAGAAAGATAATGGCTTGAAGAGTGATGATGCCTCAGGGAAGGCCTTCTTGGAGATCAAACAGAAGAATGCCAGCATCAACCATAATCTGGAGAAGGATTGTGATATCAACAAGAAGATGAGTATCCATCATGATGGCTAGATGGGGACTGGGATGAAGATGGATCACAGTATCAAAACTCCACATAATGCTTCTGCTTATTCAAAGCTCTTGGTAAAAATAGTATGATGATGAGGAATATCCTTGGAACCAAGAGACACAAGCTTTGGCAGACACAATGTAAAAGCATGGCCAGAATCAATCACTCTTGGTTGTTTTAGCAATGTGCTCTACAGTTTCAGCAGCGATGCATCCATTGCTTATCTCTTTTTCACATACAGAGCCAGTGGCATGTGTATCAGAAGAGGGGTGATGATTGGTTGGAGTCAATAGACAGGTATCCACCACCTACTATGGATGGGTGTTCAGATACTACTTCCATTATGGCAATATCCATAGTAGATGCTTCATGCCTCTTCTTTCCCCCTTTTTCTTCTTTCAAATCTGTGGATTCTGGATTTCCTTTGGTTCACTGAGGTCAACATGAGATTTCTATGTCAAAACCGTAACCACACTGGGCATTTCTTCATGCCTCTTCTTTCCCCCTTTTTCTTTTTCAGATCTGTGGATTCTGGATTTCCTTTGGTTTACTGAGGTCAACGTGAGATTTCTATGTCAAAACTGTAACCACACTGGGAGTTCTCATGAATGTTGATACCACTGAAGTGATGGTAGATGGTAAACTTGGCATGAGGAAGACTAGAAAGAAGACCTGGTGACTTACAAATGGTATTGATCATAGAATCACAGAGTTGGAAGAGACCATAGGGGCCATCAAGTCCAACTCCCAGCCATGCAGGAACTCCATCAAAGCACTCCCAACAGATGGCCATCCAGCCTCTGCTTAAAAACCTCCGAAGAAGGAGACTTCACCACCCTTCGAAGCAGCCTCTTCCACAGCTGGACAATTCTGACCGTCAGGAAGTTCTTCCTAATGTTCAGATGGAATCTCTTTTCCTGCAGTTTGAAACCATTGCTCCGTGTCCTAGTGTCTGGAGCTGTGGAAAACAAACCTGTCTCCAGAGCTGTGGAAAACAAACCTGTTCCTTCCTCAACATGACATCCCTTCAAATATTTAGACATGGCTATCATGTCCCGTCTCAACCTTCTTTATGTAAAGTTGAACATTCCCAACTCCCTAAGCCGCTGCTCATAGGACATGGCTTCCAGACCTCTGACTATTTTGGTCTCTCTCCTCTGGACATATTCCAGGTTGTCAACATCCTTCTTGAATTGAGGTGCCCAGAACTGGACACAATACTCCAGGCGAAGTCTGACCAAAGCAGAATAGAGTGGTACTATCACTTCCCTTGAGCTAGACATTATACTCCTATTGATGCAACCAAGAATTGCATTGGCTTTCTTGGCAGCCACATCACACTGCTGACTCATATTCAGCTTGTGGTCTACCAAGACTCCTAGATCCCTTTCACAGGTACTGTTGTCTAGCCAGGTGTCTTCCATCCTATATCTGTGCAGTTGATTTTTTTCTGCCTAGGTATAGGACCTTAAATTTCTCCCTGTTGAAATTCATTTTATTAGTTTTGGCACCAGACTCTGTCAACGTCATTTTGAATTTTAATTCTGTCCTCTGGGGAATTAGCAACCCCTCCCAATTTGGTATCATCTGCAAATTTAATCAGCACATTCTCTATTCCTTCATCCAAGTCATTGATAAAGATGTTGAACAGCACCAAGGCCCAGAACAGAACCCTGAGGCACCCCACTAGTTACCTTTCTCCAGGATGAAGAGAAGCCACTTTGAGTTCGGTCAGTCAATCAATTACAAATCCACCGAATAGTAGCACTATTCCTTGCAAGAATATCTCAAATTACTCCTCAACTGGCTTTCTTAAGAAGGTGCATCACCAGTGGAACACTCCAATGACATCAGTTTGGGTTGAAACAGCCTTGCTGATTCTCCATGCCAAAGTGTTGCACTCATCCCAAAGACACAAGAACCCCATGTCATGTGCATCTCTGTGGGGAACCTTCCCTCTACAGACAACACAGTATTTAAAAACCACTCCTTCTGTAGTCTTGAGATAAGAAGATTCCAAAACACTCACTCTAAACTAAAATTCCTCAAAAGTCCAAAAAATTCCTCCCATTTCTCATTGCTATCCCATATAGTCCAGGCCAAAAAGCTTCACTCAATGGTTCCCCCAAATATTACAAGTATACAAGGTACATTAATTCCAAAAGCACATGGTTAAGACTTAGGAGATCTCTTCTAGGGTTGCCTTCTGTAGCAACAGAGACTGTGTTGCATGTGATGCACAAATATGTGAATTCTGTTATCTTTCATGGAATCTAGGAGCCACTAGACTTATCATGATTACTTGTTATATTTCTGCCCCACCTTTCTCTATTAAGTAGGGCTCCATGCAGCTTACAGTAATCATAAAACATAATAATAACAGGAGATGAAAACAAATTCAGCCACAGAACCATTAAAATCCAATGAAAGCAAACAGAGCCGCACACAAAAATATTACAATCTGCAGAGAGTTAAAATCCTCACAATAGATTAAACCATATCACCAGCCCATTTGAAAAGATGTACAGTACCTTCACACTCTACCTAAAAGCAGCAAGAGCGGATATCGATGCTTTCCCCCATGCTTAATCCATTTCGTAGTCATGCAAGCCACCAGCCGTTGCAGAGATGAGAAAAGTAAATTTTGTCAACTACAATCCCTAGCATGTCCCAGTAAAAACCACTCTAGCACATGTTGGCTAGAGTATGCTGGGATCTGTAGTAATAAAAAGTCATTTCCCCTCCTCTCTGGTCTATCCCCACATCTGGTGGTGCCCTGGGCAGTTACCTATTAAGTTTCTACTGAATGGAAAGTCACGCCAGGATAGCAGAATTGGTGATTTCCACAACAAACAAGCAGACAGACACCACTAGCACTGGTTTCTGCTCGGGGAAAAAGTCAGAAGGATGCTTCTCGAAATAGTTTATTTCACAAGTAATGGATGTGTTGCAGCTAACTCTCCCTCATCAGCCTCCTGCCATTCTTCCTCTGCTGAGAAGTTCCCCCCACGGCTAACAAGTGGCTTCCAAGTCAATCATGAACGGAGCAAAAGACAGTCATTGACTCTGCAAGCAGACATGTGTCCTTGGGTCACATGCCTCTGCAGGAGACCATGCAGAACGATGATGTAGAATGTGGGGATAGGAACAAAATTCCTGACAACTTCAGCATTGGTGCTTGGTGTTTTTTTTAATCAAGTTACTCCTCTGGTTGCAAAAGTGCACAGTGAAATCTCAGATAGTATAGACAGAGATGAATAAGGTTTTCCTCGTCCAGACAGCAGCGCTTTGGGTCTGTTTTCAGATAATTGCCCCTCCTGTTCACTAGCAGAAGCAGACATTACAGTCCATTACATATTGCAAGAGAGAAGGATTTCCACTGGAAAACACACAGTGCCACTGGAAAAAAAGCCTTGCCCATAGGGAAAGCCCATGTTGTATGCAGATGAAACAAAAGTCCTGTCTCTCACATGTTCCAGTCAAAGAATCTTGGGGAGGAGGTCATTATGTGAAAAGCCCTTCTGTGCCAAAAGTCTGTTTTGGAAGTCATTGCTAATTGGAGGGTCAAATCATACAAAATGCTAAGCTGGTAATTGGAAGATGATGCAGCAGGTCTAGGAAGGTCTAGAACAATCAATACTGGGGTAGGCCAAGAATGAAACCTCCTCTGGAGGGGGCTTATCTGGTGTTATTTGCTGGGCTGGGAACGCCATACACATGTATGTTCTCCCTCTCACTTACACACACACACACACACACACACACAGAGAGAGAGAGAGAGAGAGAGACTCATGTTCCGATAACAATCACTGGACTCACTGCAAGGAAATAGTGATTTCCTAGTGCTAATCACAGGGTTGAACTGGACAAAATGCTAAGCTCATAATTAGACAGTGATAACACAGCTGATTGTCTCATCGAGCAAGTTTTTCCCGGAACAATGTTCTTCCTGATGCTTTCTCAGCCATGCCTCTAAGCATTCAGATTTCAAGAAAGGCTTGGGTGGAACTCCTGCTAATTAACAATCAAAGCAAGCAAGCCAATTCACAAAACATGGAGGGAAGAAGAGTGGGGACCACAGAGTTTTTAAGAGATTCGCATTTCTCAAATCCTTCAGCAGTTTCACAGACCAAGGCAGAAGGGTTCCCATCCCTCCACAGCCCAGCTGATGACCCAGCCTGCAAGGAAAAGCAAGCAGGTTCACACAGAATTTGGGTCTTCCTGGAAGTTCAGATGGCTTAGTATCCCTGGGCTAGAAAAACCAACAATTTGATTCTGTATAAGGCAGATTTTCATGTGCATTTGAGACTCTCCAATGTTCTCCACCTCCCTTTTGAACACTTGTGGATTTAGGACCTTCCCTCACCATCCGTACTTCCAGATTTCACTCTCAGGTGGTACAGTTTACCTCCACTTTCTTGACTTCTTCAACATCCACTCCCATAACGGAGAATTTCTCGACGGAAGCATCTGCAAACACATCCTTTCCTTCCGGGAGATCAAGCCACAACCGGCCTGTCTGCAGTTTCTTAGGACCCATAATGATGACAAAAACGCGACTGTCGGTGTCTGAATCAAACTCGCTGCCCGTAGTGATGGTGATGTGGTAAGGAATTACTGAAAGCAGACAAAACAGCAAAGAGATTAGGCTGGACAAGAAGTGCAGTAGCAAAGGTCTAAGGTTAAATCTTTCTTGTCATCAGTTAAAGGATTTCATCTGCCAGAAATGCTGAAGAGCCATCGCTAGGGTATCTGCTCTACACAATTATATCAGTTTGATACCACTTCAATGGTCATTACACAATTGTGGGATTTGTAGTTAGTAAGATACTCAGACAAAGGCCCACATAGTCAAACTATGGTTTTTCACCGTCTCATGAGAAGAGAAGACTCCCTGGAAAAGACCCTGATGTTAGGAAAGTGTGAGGGCAAGAGGAGAAGGGGACGACAGAGGACGAGATGGATGGACAGTGTCATCAAAGCGACCAACATGAATTTGACCCAATTCCAGGAGGCAGTGGAAGACATGCTCTGGCATGCTCTGGTCAATGGGGTCAAGAAGAGTTGGTCACAACTTAACGACTAAACAACAAGAAGATACTCAGAATTCTCTGCTAGAAACAGAGAGAATTCTAATTTCAAAATATATGCAATGGGATACTCTGTGTGGTGTAGCAGATAGTGTGACAGACGAGGACTCAGACCGACACTTCTTCTACCCAACCCACACCTAATTAGCTTGCTAATCAAAATATCATGGGGCACTGTCTTAAAAGAGTTGCTTAAGTAAAAATATATTACATCTACAACATTTCCACCATCTACCCACCATCTTACCCAACCAAAACCTCATATAAGATAAGTCTGGCAGGATTTTTTTTTCTTGACAAATCCACATTGGCTTCTAGTCACTACAGGACTGTTTTCAAGGTGCTTTCAGAATGACCACTTAATAATTTGCTCCAGGATTTTCTCTGGGATTGGGGTCAAGCTGACTGGTCTATAGTTTCCATGTTCCGCCTTTTTGCTCTTTTTGAAGAGAGGGACCACATTACCCATCCTCCATGTTTTCTGAGAATTCTTCAGCCAATTCCCTCAGTACCCTTGGATGAAGTTCATTGGGGCCCTGGTGTTTCAAACTCGTTAAAGGCACTACAATATTCCTTGACTATGTTGCTGTCCTATCCCCTCTATTTGTGCTTCACATTTGCCTGGGAATTCACAGTAGACTGTCTTCTGGGGAAAAGCCAAGGTAAAGCTGGACGTATCTTGCATGCTCTAGAAGTGCAGCTGCTAATGGAATCCCCACATTGGCCTTAAAATCCACGTGGAGTTTCTGCATAATCTGTGCCTCACACATATTTTGACATCACAAGGGTCAGCTCCCAGTGGCTGTCCAAGAACCTGCATGCAGGTCTCAGCCTCTGGGCTTGAAATCTCACAGAATGGGAACCTGCTGACTCTGCTACAAAGACATCTTCCTGGTAACTAGCTTTCTATGTGCAAGGAATTGCTTCTTCCTATTATTAAAAGCTTGAAGCCCTGTTTAGTCAGAGGTGCCTGCCTCCAAATCTGAAGAAGGCATGCATCTGCTACCTCAGTGAGCAGGAGGCCTCAAAAATAATTGCAGTCAGTTGTGGCAGAATGATCTTGAACGCCCCCCCCTGAAGAAGGCATGCATCTGCTACCTCAGTGAACAGGAGGCCTCAAAAATAATTGCAGACAGTTGTGGCAGAATGATCTTGAACACCCCCCCCCTCCCGTGCCCCAAGCTCCTTACGCGGTCCTTCTGGAGAAGAACCATCCAAGCTGCCGGTCTTCTTGTCCTTGATGTTAGCATTGCTATCTCGGCTCAGAGACAAGCCAGCCATGCTCTTTTGATCAAGGTTGTAGTTCTAAGATGGAAGCAAACAAACAAACAACATAAGCATAGGAGGCTAATTGGCATCAGTCTTTTCCATGAACCTTGTGATTGTTGTTATGCAGTTATACATTTATACAATGCAATATGAATATTTGCCTATGTATGTTTAAAGGTGTTTGCTGGGAGAGACCAGGCAGTTGTGATTGCATAATGTAGCATTCTGACCAATCAGAAGGTGTCTGGAGTCAGCCAGGCCACTATATAAGGCAGGCGTCAGATGTCGGACAGACTCAGACACAGATCGGGTCCAATGTAGGGCTGGGAAAAACAGGTGGGAGAGGGAACCAATAGGGCTAAGAATGGCAATGTTGCCCCTGAATAAAGCCAACCTGTTGATCAGAGGCCAGCAGTTCCGCTTCTTGGCATCATGGGTCACCCCAAAATGGTATGGGTCCTTGGGCCCTGATGGCACTAAGCAATAGACTTGGTTTTTATAAGAGAAATATACATGAGGGCCTCTCTGTTGCTGCTCCCAGGCTCTGGAACTGCCTCCCACGGGAAGCCAGGCTGGTCCCATCTTTGAGGGCCGGCCACAGAGACTGGCAAAACGTTAGGAAGAACAGCCTTCAGAACACGGCCAAAGAGCCCGAAAAACTCACAACTATTCCTGATAGGCTGATCTTTATCTACAGTGCAGTTATGCTTGATGTAGAAGCAGGCCAAGTATTTGTTATGACCTTGTGACATTTAGAATCAGAAGGTAGATGGGGCATCCTCTAATTAGTTGTTTTTACTTGTACCATGTAATTTGCTTGTAACTAATTATATAATATCTTGGGATGTTTACACAGAGACCAGAAAGGAAGAAGAATATCTAGCATGATGTTAGTCTGTGACACCTGTTCTAAGATACAGTGGCTTTTACTGGCTGTTAGTTTGACAAGGTGAAGAGGGGAGTAAAGACTATTTCTTCATGTGTGAGGTGGCTGTCAAAGCAATGGGTAAACCTGTGGCTCGAGCAGATTCTAGCACTGAAATATTAGTCAACAGTTGCTATGAAACATGTAGAGCACTTCCTTCCTTCCTTCCTTCCTTCCTTCCTTCCTTCCTTCCTTCCTTCCTTCCTTCCTTCCTTCCTTTCTTTCCCCCCACTTTTCTCCTTTAAAAAAGGACCCAAGGTGGCTTACATCATTAAAAACACATTAAAAGCTAAAAACAATAAGTATACAAATATTTAAAAAGAATTAAACAAGGGTTATATTAAAATGGTAACTAAGATCATTGTTAACTCAGATCATTATTAAGGAATTAATAACATTGTGTTTTAAATGTTAGGTAAGAGCATTACTAAAGCAAATTCAAAAGCAACAAAAATAAAAACCGTCCTATTTCAAAACCTCTCTTAGATAGCCAGTCGCTAAGGAAAAGCTTGCTTGAAGAGAAAAGTCTTTGCCTGCTTGTGGAAGGACAGCAAAGATGGGGCCAGGCTGGCCTCCAGTGGGAGGGAGTTCCAGAGTCTGGGAGCAGCCACAGAGAAGGCCCTCTCCCGTGTCCTCACCAAACACATCTATATGCTTATTTTTGCCCCATATGTTTATTTTTTTAAAAATAAAAACTGTATAAGGCCAGTGGCTAAAATTTGAAGGCATTGTTTACAGCTTTTCCCGGAGCAGAATCGCGGAATGCCCACATGATAGACCTAATTCCCTGTGAATTTTATCCCCAAAACGTGGCATTAGGGGACAAAATCAACCCCTCCTTGCGCATGTGCACATAAATAGAAAAAGTGTTCCAAAACAAGACAGCGCCCTTGCTTGGTGAGTAAGCAGCGAGATCCAAATAGAAGCATATCCTTCTCTGTGAGGAACATTAGGAGAATGCCTTTCAACACGGCATTAGTTATTTGGATTGCAGATAAATACTTGTTATTCGGTATTTACTGCCCAATTAAGCGGAGGCATCTTTTATGTTCAATGTTGAAAAGCAAAATCAATTAACCTAATTAATTTCATCAATTAACTGATTAAACATAGCATCCTCACTTTTCATACCAAAGAATATTTGCACAACTGTGTTGCCTTGAGCTCGAGAGAAATATAGAGTGCAGCAAGAGAACAAATAGATGGACTTGGATTTGTGTTGGGAAACGGTGTTGATTTCTTGAGGAAACTCATTTCCCCCTCCCGAAAAGAATTCTGCATTACTCACAGATTTGCATCCTGTATGAGGGTTCTTAACTACAGGATACAATGCTACTTGTAGAAGGAGTCTGTAACAAGAAAATTGTCAAAAGGCCTCTAAAGTGGTTTGCACCGTGAAAAATATGACTAGAATTTGAAAATAGTCATTAAAATTATTGGGAATTAAGGGGCTGGTGTAATAGCGTGACTAACCGTAAAAATCCCCCTTGCATGTTCATTGGAATTGTTTTTATTAAACCTAATTAGTTTTGCCTCCTTAAAAGGAATTAATAAGACCAACTAAGTAAGCCGGATCCCACCGGGTCGTCAGCAGCTACGTGTATTTGATGCAACCCATCAAATGCGTTCCCTCGGGTGGATCCATTTGCCCCAATGTTAATATGTAATCGCTTCAGTCATAATGTGAAATTAAAACATTGCTTTGCCCTGTAGAATGAGCCCTGGCAAGTCAACCAGCTTCAGTCAACGGCGGTACGAGGCCTTGGTGTCTAAAAGGGCAAGCACTGCCTATTAATTCTGATCCTGTTAATTAATCCACATATCCTTTGAATTCTAATTAGCTACATCTTCTAGTGATTGTGGCACCACCAAAGCTTGCTTCTTCTCAGGCAGAAGCCGCAGACGTGTTGATGAGAAAATATAAAGGGTGCCCATCTGAGGACGATCCAGACACGGCATCTGTGACTCCCTCTTGAGTGGGAGTCCATGGAAAGAAGTCAACTTTGCCTAAGATTTCTAGGCCATATGAAATGGGGAGAATGTTGATTGAGAAAAGTTGATTGAGAAAAGGTTTCATCCCGACCCCAGGACTCAAACTCAGAGTCAAGTAAAGGAGCAGGTCTTCCAGAATGGGCAGAAAGGGAGCAGACTTGGGCTGTGTGACCGTGGGATCTGCTGTCAAGTCAGACTTAAATCACACTGGTGAGTCAGACTTGACTCAGTTTTCCTTTTAATGACTCGGAAATCAGCTTTTCTAAGATCCCTACTCCCGTGTAAAGCAGGAGCAGATGGTGACTCCTCTTGTAGGAGGTGTAATGACTTTGCTCTGGATTTTACTCTCAATTTTACAGGCTCAATGAAAGGGGATGAGATCCATCCTCAAAATTGTTTCAGCACTGTGGAGAGTTCCTGTAAAGCTCAGACTAAAGGCTGGAGTGGATCCACAGCCCTATGAATCTGGGTTTATCAGCTAGCGCAGAGCCTACAAAAAGCCGGAAACCAGTTTTCTTCATATTTGACACAGATCATGTGAAGAAAGTGACAAACCGAGAGAAGCAGGATGAGGCACTCAGACCCCCCAGGTCTGTTGAAATCACTGGATTCTGTAACAACTGAATTAAGGTACTTTGAGCCCTGGGCAGAGATGAACACATCCATTTTTTTCCCTCCCACATTCAGATTTTTAAGATACTAAATTATTTTCATCTCAAATGTGAAGGAAGACAGAAAGCTTGGGTTAAGCCTCTCTCAAAATGGACAAAAACAATAATGTCACCCATCAAAAAGCAGGTGAAAAATGTACATTGCGGTGATAATCTTCCTCTGCCAGAAGATCGCACCCCCCCCCCAGAAAACACACACCTTCCTGATTCCCGTGGGCTTGGGGCAAGAGAAAGCAGTGGCCACCAGTCAGGCTCCTCTGGGAGGAACCCCGAGGTGCAGGTGGGAGCTTGGACGCCCCCCTGGGATTTTTAAGTCCTACAGCAGCACCACCACTGAAAGACCGTACCCTGTTTTTATTTTGTTTTGCTACAGCTTTTGTACGGAACCATAAAAGGGTCAGGAGACAATTTCAATCAATACCAAAAAAAGGGGCTTTGACCCTTCTGAATAACACCTGGTACGGTAATTAGGAGTTTTTCAGGGGGGGGACCCTTCAGGTGCCCCATTTTGTTCTTCTTTTTTACAATTCAGTTTTGAGCTGTTCAAGAGGCGGTCTTTGATCTTTGATGCAGTGAACCTCAGCTCTCAAAATAGAGCAGATGCAGTTTCCCTTCCACCACCAAAACCTTAAAAAAAAACTCCACTGTGAAGGAAAGCCAGTGTCTAATATGCCTTATTTTTCCTTAGGAACCTCGCCGCAGTACGGGTACAGGGAAGATAAAAATACAATTTTTCAGAGAGTCGGAAGAGGCTTGAGAAACAGCCTCTCTCTCCTCTCTCTCTCTCTCTCTCTCTCTCTCTCTCTCTCTCTCTCTCTCTCTCTGTGTGTGTGTGTGTGTGTGTGTGTGTGTGTGTGTGTGTGTGTGTGTGTGTGTGTGTGAGAGAGAGAGAGAGAGAGATCCATCAGTTTGTTCAGAGAGACTTGAACCTTAGCTGCAGTCCTTTTTCCAGAGATGAAAGGTGTATGTGGGGGAACAGTCTGTCAGAGATAGGCTCTTTTTACCAGGGTTTGAAACTAATTTCCAAGAATGAAAAAAAAAATGCTCTTCTCAGCTTATAGCAAAACAACTCCAATTAAGAGAACATCGCCAAGGGCAATAGGAAAAAGGGAGGATCAGGTTCCTGCTATTACTGGGAATTTCGAAGTCCTCCCTCCCCCCCCCTCTAAAAATTCTGACATCCTCATTTTCCCAGTCATATCAGTTTCGCTAAGGGGACTCCAGTCAAATGGATGTGGCTAAAGAAAGAGAAATACGATCCAGAGACATCCATTCCCTCCCGATTAAAACAAAAGAGATACAAATATAGTGTTTTAAAAAAACACCCATCTATAGAATCATTTCAAGGCATGATAAGACCTAACTGGAACTTGAAAGTAACGTGTTCATGTTAAGGCATTCATCTTAAAATCATTACTCTCCTATTAAAAAGAAGAACAAGCCAGCAAATGCATCTGAAGAATAACATTTGCTTTTGTAACTGATTTCCCCCCTTTAAGAGTAGATGCATTCCTTCTTTTTAACATGAAATTCATGATGCTCACATTAACATGTTTGATCTGTTATTTATTGATGAAAATGTACCAAAAATAAAATCTGCAAATTTCCTCATACAGTATTTGGAATGGAAAGGTCTTGAGACCTGAGCCCCAATTATGCAAAAGACCAGCTTTGCAATTAGAAACAGAACTTCCTCTGGAGGTAAAGAAGATTTATTTATGAAATCAGAAGGGTTTTTTTTTTAGCTCTTCATGTGGCAAATTATCTTCCTCTTGCCTTAAAACTGTCCATCAGGAAGTAAACAACAACATCATTTGTTAATTACTGTGCAAACAGAGGCACTTTGAAGGAATGTCTCTCTGAAGGGATGATGTTTTGTGACCTTTTAATTGCAAAGCTGGCACCTCATAGATTTTGGCCCTTAAATATGAATGTGGGAGAAACTAAATCTGGTGGATTTGTCCATCAACGTCCAGGGTCCAGAGCAGTTAATTTGAAAAGTCTGGGTAATTGCGCCTGTGCATCCAATTACGTTGGTGCTAAATTAGGGCCTCTCGTCTTTTTTCCCCCCGAGAGAGTCCTTACCTTTAGCAACTCTATGGCAGATAGATACAAAATGGCTCCCTCCAAACCGGGGAGAATTGTAATTATTGGATTTGGACATTGCCAATAGAGAAGAATTTCATTTCATTCTTTTTTGAAGACGTTGCAAATAAAAAGTCAAAACTTCAGAGAAAGAAGAGAAAGGAGATAAGGTGTAAAAACACGATTTACTTGAGAAATTGCCACTGAAGACTTCTATCCGTTGCAAAAGTGTGACCGGGATTGTTTTATTCCTCATGGTTCCTTGTGATATTTTCTTTCATGTGTCCTTCTCTTGGCTGGCCTTTCCAGCTGACAAAATGGTGCCTGTTTCTTCCCTGGCAAATCCTATACATAATTTTGGGGATTTACAAGCAGGATCTTCCCATAAATCAGTGTTTGCTTTCTTGTGTACCAGTTATCCCAGTGTCCTTTGCAGGAATGTAAAGATGGTTGGAAAGTGTCATCGAAGTGACCAACATGAATCTGATCCAACTCCGGGACGCAGTGGAAGAGAGGAGGGCTTAGCGTGCTCTGGTCCACGGGGTCACAAAGAGTCGGACACGACTAAACGACTAAACAACAACAAAGCATGCTACTTATATACTGCCACACAGTGCTTAAAGCACTTTCCGGACAGTTTCACAATTTAATTTTTCATGCTACATATCTCCCTCCCCCCCGCCCTCGCCCACAAACTGGGTACTTAATTTACCGACCTTGGAAGGCTGAGTGAACTTTAAGCCATCTACATGAGTCTGTTGGGATTGAACTCTGGTTGTGGGCAGTCTTCATTGCTGTACTGCAGTTTATCCATGGTGCCACAAGGCAGAAGCCCCTATTTATCCCTGTAGCTTCTAGGGTTATCCTCGCATTATGTTTCTCCTGGAGTAACCCCCCACCAGGACAAATCCTCAAAATTCATCAGAATCCAAATAAATAAATAAATAAAAAAATAAAAGAATATTCATCCTATCCTTAGGTGTGAGAGTACAGTGGTGCCTCGCTTAACGAGCCCACCATTTTATGACGAATCTGCATAGCGATGCGGATTTTGCAATCGTTTTTATGATCGCATTGCGATGTTTAGATAGGCTAAACATCGCATTACGATGATCGGTAAGCGTTTCGCTTAACGATTATCGCATTGCGATGTTTTTAGAACAGCTGATCGGCAGTTCCAAAATGGCCACCGCATAAACAAAATGGCCACCCGCAGCGTTTTTGCGCCCTGCCCTCGCTTACCGAGGTGGCGAAAATGGCAGCCGGATGAGGAATCTTCGCTTACCGGTGAGTTTTCCCCCCATAGGGGTTTTACGTTTCGGATAGCAATGTTTCCAGATAGCTATGTTAATCCTGGAATGGATTAATGTCGCTATACGGGGCACCGCTGTATTTATCTTAAGCACTGGTCTCATTTCCACTCTTTTCAGGAGTGCGGGTGGACAGATTGTGCCTCCCACCCATTGAAACTTCTGGATTACCAAATCCTTTCCTCTCACTCACTCACACAACGACGTACTTTTTCGAAAAGTATCCTCTCAATCATGAGGTCCTCCCTCTTCCTGGACAGCCAACGTTCACACTGGAACAGGTACTCTTCCTCTGTGTTGTTGTTCAGGATCTCTACTTTTTCTAGGTACCAATCTGGCCTCGGCAGGCTGTTATCATGGCGAATCTTGATCTTGTAGAGAGTGCCGAGGTCCACCGCTTGGATGGTGAAGATATCTTCCTACGGAAGACGGAATGAAGGAACAACGTTAAGAATTGGACTTTCCATCCCGCATGCATTTATTACAGCAAGTAGAAATGTACACAGCAGAACCTAGGGGTGGAGATCCTGTATGGGACCCTCATTTCTTCTGCACCAGCCCCATGACTCTCCGAACTTCTTGTTACTTCCCTTTGGTTTGTTTGGCTGCAAGAGCTGGTCCCAGGAAAACCCCTGCCATCTGGAAGGGGGAGGCATGTCTTCTCAGTGAGCATTAAGAGCTGCAGCAGGAAAAAAGTTCTGATCAGTCCTACATCACAGGCAGAAGTTCCACTGACACTTTCTTCTGTCAATCAATGCATTCTTAACAAAAGGGCCAGAGACGCTTTATTCCCATTATTTTTTAGGACTGTTTCATTAGCCACTCAATTTAGGAAGATGTACAGGGAAGAGCACGATTTGGCTAAAATTGTTGACCACTTGAGGCTGGGATTTGTGAGTTTCATAAATGGCCTTATGACAGCATGGAATGCTGGAGTTTTATCGGCCACTTACATGCTGTCTCTAGTTTTGTGACTGGAAGGGAATTTTCTGCACTGGGATGATGGTCTATCCAGCACTAACCAATCATTCCTTGCAGCCTTTGATTTCAAAGAGAGACCCATCTCTCTGCTGAGTGTTTTTCGCCTCTCTTTTGTGAGTTGGTAGCCGTTGTTTGTTTGCTGTTGATCTGTTTGGTTAGTTGCTAACGATATGTACAGTAACAAAAGCAGCATGCACAAGCCTGTCCTTTCAAGCAGCTGCCAGTAAATAAACGTTTTTGTTTTTTCTCCTACAAAAATTTCAGAGTGTGTTACCGAGACTTTAAGTGTGGGCGAATGAGAAAGGAATGGGCACTAGGGAACTTTTAGCTATTTTCCTTTGTGGATCTCTGTACTTCTACTGAGCAGCAAAAAGGAAATTTTTAATAGAAATCCAAGACTCTTGAACACTGGCTTCAATCCAGGACTATGCATTAAAAGCCCAGTGTAACCAGCCCCATCGATAATTTTGAAGAAAATGGAAGATCTCCAACTTTCTATGAAGCTGCAACGGTTCGAAATGTTCACCTTGAGCTTCATCCAGAAGTTTACGGACTTGAAAGGTATTGGGAATGTATGTGGCCCTGTGGCAAGGAGAATCATCATCCATTACATGAACATGTGTACAGACAAGTACCTCTGGAAATATATAAACTCAGGAGCCCTTGGAAATTTCCTAGTAGAAAAAGGCAATTCCCTCCCCTACTGCCCCTGTAATTCTAACATGTTGAATCATCTATAGATTAGTTCTAATTAATAGCTTGTCTCTCTTTTATGAGGGAAAGGCCAAACATGCTCCAGCATATTTGATGCATGAAGAGCACGCTAGGCGTAAGATTTATCGAGGTCTGGGTGAGTCGTCAGTTAATGACAGAATCAACACGGTGACTATTTATTTATAGCTTTCCCATTCTGCCTCAGGTGGACTGGATAAAAATGAAGGAGGCCCACGGACGGAGTTCAGACATGCTTGGAGAAGGGGCTTGAACGAGAAGAGCAAAACATGGATGTTCCAAAAGCTGACGTGACGGCTGCTCCCGGCACGATTTTTGCTGAAGAAACAGATTGCATTGTCATGAAGACAATACGTGCATTGTTCCAGAGAAATGATTTGGTCAATTTATTCATGACAGCAACAACTGTTGTAATTAAAGATTGGGAGAGTTTTTGCAGCCACGAATTGACACTTGCTTAAATAAACCACTGATGGGTGCAGGACTGAACAAGATAAATCCCATTATAGACATGCCGACAGCGTGTCCTTCTGTTCATTCGAGGGAAAGTGGGACAGCCCTCTGTCAGATCTGCTTGGATTTGGATTCCTGCCTTGAGCAAGGGGTTGGTCTCGATGGCCTTATAGGCCCCTTCCAACTCAATTATTCCAGTTTTTAGCAAAATGTTTCTGTGGGGGCTCCTTACGTAAAGGTAAAGGTTCCCCTTGAAATTTAGTCCAGTCATGTCCAACTCCAGGGCGCGGTGCTCATCCCCGTCTCCAAGCCATAGAGCCAGCGTTTGTCCGAAGACAGTTTCCGTGGTCATGTGGCCAGGGTGACTAGACATGGAGAGTTGTGACCTTCCCACTGATGTGGTACCTATTTATCTATTTACATTTTTACTGCTTTCACACTGCTAGGTTAGCATCAGCTGGGACAAGCTACGGGAACTCACTCCGATGTGTGGATTCGATCTTACGACGGCGGGTCTTCTGACCTTGCAGCACAGAGGCTTCTGCGGTTTAACCCACAGCACCATCACATCAAGGGGGCTCCTTAAAACATGTCAAGCTTGCTCTCATGGGGCACAAGAAGACTGATTGAGCCAATTCCCTCTGCCCCATTTTTCTAACATTTCTGGGAGGTGGGGCCTTGAAGGGCCCATCAGTTCTGGAAGCCGTGTTTTTGACCCCAGGGGGTACATAAGACTTCTCAGCCCACAGACCACATTTCATCCACTCTGATCTAAATCAATGTTCTCTGGTGACTCAAAGAGAAGTCTTTCCCAGTGCTATCTGGAGGTCACCATAAGAATATTTGATATTTTAAGCTACCAAAATACAGCACAGTCGTGCTGCGCTTAGGATCATTAAATATGAATAACTATGCTGATAATTCATCTTTAGATACAAACCAAAAATGTACATTTTTTAAAATATCAAGAAAATCAACCAAAGGGAGGGATGGGGAATCCAGCCACAGGACGCACTTAATTACAGAACTCCCTTAAATTATTCTCCGAACACTGTGCCACTGGACTTTCTTATTATGGAGGCCATGCTGTGTGTGGCTGCTTGCCTCTAACCAAAGGAAACGGCGAACGGGATTCTAAAAAAGAAGGGACCAGTAAAGCAATTCATAGATCACTAGGCTGGACCCTAAGGAGGACAGGAATACCAGAGCTTTGATCCAAGGCAGTAAAATTTGGAAGACATGTACCTTTGCTGCTTGGAATGGTATGAACTGCTGGTTGGTCTTCGCTGCTCAGAGGGCATGAACTCACCTGCCCCTGGGGGAGCATATCTCCTCCAGGCGCTCATCCCAAGACCAAAGGAAACACCACACAGGCAGGTTCAAGGGTAGGACCGATTGGGCTGCCGTGCTTTGGACCCAGCCGTTCCTCTCCGTGGGTCCCTCGTCTCCTTGTCTATACCAATCCCACATGACCCAAACTTGATGCATAGGGTGGAGAAGCCCCAGTCACCAAAACGACTCCGGGCAACAGAACTACAAATTCTGTTACTGAGAGTTTGCGAACAAGTTGCCCACGTCTGCCATGCTCACTATCCATGGACTGATTCAGATGCCGAGTCTCTGAGTTGAGGCTTTTTCGCTTCTCCAGCGCCAGGGACGGATTCCCTGATGTTTTGCACACATCACATCTCCTGCATCGGTGTGCTGGTGCTGCTACAAGCAATCCCCATTTACTAAACATGATGTCTCTGTCTTCTGTCTTCTAGGATACTGCTTAGAAGCTTCCTACAAGACAGACTACTAGTCTGTCCAGCTCAAAATACAGTGGTGCCTCGCTAGACGATGATAAACCGTTCCACTGAAATAGATGTTTAGCAAAATCATTGTCTAGAGAAAAGCAAATCGTCATTTAGTGAAAATCGGTTTGCGAAGCAGGGACCAAACATTGTCCAGCAAAAGTCCCCCATAGGAATCACTGTTTCGCGAATCGCTATAGCGATCACAAAAAGTAAATGTCTAGCGAAAAAACTGTCATGCAGGGTAACTGTCTAGCGAGGCACCACTGTAGCATACACTGACCAGCAGTGGTTCTTTCTTAGTTCTACTCTGAGCAATAGGAGTTGAGCCCAAGTTCTACTTTCTATATGTCCCTTGTAAGCTGTCACTCTTTTCTTATACAATTGAGCAGAAACATCATCTCCCTCCCATCAAGCTGCTTCGAACCCCGTGGCATATGGAAACAAGAGCGTTCAGTTGAATCCGTACCTGCCCTCTTTCAAACTTGTTCGTGTTTGTTTCGGATTTGCCGAGTTTTCTCTCCCCTGTATCTCCCAGGTCTCCGTATACGGTCAAGAACACATTGGCATCAGTCCCAGCGCCGTAAACATCGCCAGTGTAAACAGTAATGTTGTATGTATAAACTTTACATGGAGGGGAGAAAGATGACATCATCATCGTTACATTTCTTCCCATATCAACACAACCTCATTTCAATATTAAAAAGAAAATGTCTTGGGCAAAACACATTTTGTTGGATCTAAGCTTTGGTGGACTGTGGTTTATTTTATCAAATCCATCTGCACTGATGAAGGAGGCTATAGTCTACAAATGTGTGAGCCAAATCAAACTCATTAGGCTTTATGGATTCAATTTATGATGCCCTAAGGCACTTTGTCACTTTTTTTGGCAACAGAATAACAAAGCTACTTCCTCCTTTTTGAAATAATTTAAATATATGTTTCTAAAGGAATGACATCAGTGGTGAGAAAAGAATCATCACTGGTGGGGACCTTCTGGCCCATGGACCAAATACAGTGGTGCCCCTCTTAATGATTGCCCCGCATTACAACGAAATCGCTGTACGATGATCGTTTTGCAATCGCAATTGCTATTGCAAAACAATGGTCTAAATAGAGTTTTTTCGCTTTGCGATGATCAGTTCCTTGCTTCAGGAACCGATTCTTCGCAAAACGATGGGTTTTTAACAGCTGATCGGTGGTTTCAAAATGGCCACCGGGTGCTTAAACTGGCTCCCCACTGTGTTTAGGGACGGGTTCCTCGCTATACAGGCACCGAAAATGGCCGCCATATGGAGGATCTTCGCTGGACGGTGAGTTTTTACCCCATTGGAACACATTGAATGGGTTTCAATGCGTTTCAGTGGGGTTTTTAATTTCGTTTTACGATGTTTTCGCTTAACAGCGATTTTCCTGAAACGGATTATCGTCTTTAAGCAAGGCACCACTGTACGGACTCATGGCCAAGATACACGTTTTACCAACTTTTCTCTAAGCTATTCGTAATATTAGCTCTGTTCTGCTAAATTCTCCAGCTACGTTTCTGATGAAGGGACCCTTGCACAGCTTGGGGATGGAGAATGTCTGGGTGCAAATCTCTTTTCCATAGCTTGGAAAAGTTACTTTTTAGAACTATGTCTCAATCTCCCACCCAGCATGTTCAGAGGGATTACATGAGTTATAGGTGTAGCAGCAGACGTCTGGATGAACGTATGAAATCCCCTTATACCAGAGTTTGAACCATTGATCTCTCTAGCCTAGCAATAGCTTCGAGAAACTCCATCCAAAGGTGTGTTCCTGAGACCGTCTACCACAAAAGGCTAGGGTTTAAATCCAGCACATTCTATACACAAATCGCATTTTCATCCACTTAGAAGTAGATTAGATTAATATACACTGCTCTCGCAGCATTTTAAGTTCTTTCTACCCTTGGATAGACAGACTAGGAAGGGCAGCAATGAAGGAAGTTAAAAAAGAGAGAGATAATCATGTTTAATGAAGGAAGTTAAAAAAGAGAGAGATAAGACCAAGATTATCCACAATCTTGTATTTGCAATCACCATGCTGGACAGTAAAGAAAGCAGGCAAGGAAAAAAACTGATTCATTTGACCCATGCTGGACAGTAAAGAAAGCAGGCAAGAATAAAAAAACGGATTCATTTGACATGTGGTGCTGGAAGAGAGTTTTGCAGATTCCATGGACTGCCAGAAAAATGAGCAAGTGGGTTCTAGGTCAAATCAAGTCTGAACTATCTCTGGGGACAAAAATTTTGAAACTGAGGTGGTCTACTTTGGGCACATCATGAGAAGACAGGATCCTCCGGAAAAGACAATAATGTTGGGGAAAGCTGAAGGCAGGAGGAAAAGAGGAGGAACAAATATAAGATGAATTGACTATCTAAAGGAAACCACAGGATTGAGTCTACGAGAGCTGAGCAGGGAATCTGAGGACACGGTCGCCATAAGTCGGAGATGACTTGATGGTCCATAAGAACAACAACCCTGGTATCTTGTGGAAGAAATTAACTTGGAAGTCCTTTTTTTAAATAAACAAGAGCAGATTTGCTCAACAATATGCCCAAGGCAAATCAGCAGGGCTTTCAGTGACATTCCCTTAATGGAAGGCAAATCTCAAGAAACAAATCATCATCATCATCATCATCATCATCATCATCATCATCCTCATCATCATCATCATCATACTGCAGAGCTAAGCCTAATGCATATTTAATTTTGAAAGTATATGATATCATCTAGGTCTCATCTGCCCCACCCCATAAAAATGGGTTGCTTAAAATAAATAAGATGACCTGGAAAATATAATGAACTGTTCTGAAGGGAGAAAAAAATGGCAAATCAATAAGGGAAAATGATCCTTTTATAGAAGCTCATTGCTCAAGAATGGATTAGGTTTTAATGCAGCCTGCAAGCTCTTGTTTACACTATCATTCAGGCTGAGATTATAAATTGCTAACTTAATACACTCTTATTTAGTTACATCACCAAGAGCTTAATTTGAGACTAAGGACTCAAGGGACATCCGTCAAAACAAGAACTTCCTTGCTCACAATATCAGAGCAGCCTGGTCTCCTCTTGCAACAGAATCCGTTGGCAGAGAGTTGTTCGGGATCTGAGACCAAAGGACAGACTGGGTGACATCATTGGCACATCCTTAGAATGGCTGCTCCCTGAAGCGGCAAAAGATGCTTCTTTGTTGTCACACCTACTTTTCCTTACCTCCATATCTTGCATTAATACCCCCTGCTTTGTGATTGGCTAATGAAAGATATATATGGGCTTGGTATCTGAGTGTTGAAGCATATATCTCAAAGGAAATACACAATTTTGAAAGTATATGATATCATCTAGGTCTCATCTGCCCCACCCCATAAAAATGGGTTGCTTAAAATAAATAAGATGACCTGGAAAATATAATGAACTGTTCTGAAGGGAGAAAAAAATGGCAAATCAATAAGGGAAAATGATCCTTTTATAGAAGCTCATTGCTCAAGAATGGATTAGGTTTTAATGCAGCCTGCAAGCTCTTGTTTACACTATCATGCAGGCTGAGATTATAAATTGCTAACTTAATACACTCTTATTTAGTTACATCACTAAGAGCTTAATTTGAGACTAAGGACTCAAGGGACATCCGTCAAAACAAGAACTTCCTTGCTCACAATATCAGAGAAGCCTGGTCTCCTCTTGCAACAGAATCCGTTGGCAGAGAGTTGTTCGGGATCTGAGACCAAAGGACAGACTGGGTGATATCATTGGCACAGAATGGCTGCTCCCTGAAGCGGCGAAAGATGCTTCATTGTTGTCACACCTGCTTTTCCTTACCTCCATATCTTGCATTAACACCCCCTGTTTTGTGATTGGCTATTGAAAGATAAATATGGGCTTGGTATCTGAATGTTGAAGCATGTCTCTTAAAGGAAATACATTGCAAGAGGAAAAGCAAACTCTCATTATGTGCTGTTGTTTACAGTTTTTAACAACCCTCCAAGCCCATGTTATTGACAGCCCTGCTCTTGCCAACTAAAAGCTGTGGTCTTTTTTACTGAGTCCGTATCTCCCTTGCTTAGTCTTCCTCTTTTCCTCCTGCTTTCACTTTTCCCACCTTTATGATCTTTTCCATTAACTCTTATCTTTTCATGGTATTTTCAAAATAAAACGGCTTCAATGTAGTTACTTGGTGACAATCCTGTCTTGTTTTGACCTAGAACCCATTTATGTGTTTTTATCTGATGGTCCATATACTATCCGTAAAGCTCTCCTCTAAGACCACATTTCTAATGAATGGACTGTTTTCCTGACAGCTTTCTTCAATGTCCAGCATCTCTACATCCATACATTGCAGCTGGGAATGCAATTGTAGGCATAATCTTGGCCTTGCTCTCCAGTGGCAGATCTCGATTCCTAAGCATCTTTTCTAGTTCTTTTAGGTCTCTGGCTGTGGAGCCGGAGGTTGGGAGTTTGATTCCCCGCTTGTGCCTCCTATGGGTAGAGCCAGCCTGTGTGGCCTTGGGCCAGCTGCACAGTCCCACAGCGCCCCTAGAGGAAAGGAATGGTAAACTACTTCTGCCTGGAAAACCCTGGAAAGGGTCACAGCAAGTCAAAATTGATTGGATGGCATATGATTATGATTAAAAATGCCATCCCTCCTGAAGGATTGGTATATGTTCAGCCAGAGCCTGAAAAAGTTACTTTTTCAGACCGAACTCCCACAACAGCCCAGCCAGCGTGGTCCCATGTCGTTCTAACTATTCAGTAGCTCAAGCTACGAGGACGCATCCAGAAGAATGGGATGATAGAATACAGTGGGCCATACAGCACTGGTTTGGAGGGAACACCAGTATTGATCAGCTAGTGTGGTGTGGTGGTTCAGACTCTTCGACTGGTTTCTGAGACGATTCAGGTTCAAATCCCCACTGAGCTAGGAAACTCACTGACAGGTCATCCACAGCTCCTCTGAACCAAAGTGAAGTCTTGGATGAGCAGAATTCCACCGTGGCCATCCTAGCTGGGAGATTCTAGAAGATGGATTCCAAAGAAGTTCCTTTTCTAATCTGTGGTTAGCCTAGCTCACAAAGGTGTTTGGAAGATATTAGGGGAGGGGGGCAAGGAAGAAGAGAAACCAGATATGCCAGCTTGTGCTCAGTGGAGGAAAACGTTAGGGTATTAATGTAGTTTGTAAACAACTTGAAAGCATGGTGGTGTAGTGGACAAAGTGTTGTATTACGGTGCCAGAGACCTGGGTTCAAATTCCTGTTTAGCAACAGAAATCTGGAGGAGAAGAGGGGACTGACAACAGTAAATCACTCCTTGAAATGTTTCACATACCTTGAAAACACTACAGTGATGCCTCGCAAAACTAAAAGAAATCATTCCGCGAGTCGTTTCGTACTGCAAAAATTTCATCTTGCGAAGCGCGGTTTCCCATAGGAATGCACTGAAAGCTAATTACATTTTAAAAATGCAAAAAATTTGATCTTGCGAAGCACAGCCATAGAAAAATTTGTCACTGAAAATCGTAAAACGCTTTCGTCTTGCGAGTTTTTCGTTGCGTGAGGCATTCGTCTTGCGAGGCCTCACTGTATTAGGGTTGCCAAAGATGCAAGTTACTTGATGGTACCTATTTAATCATAATTATGTGCTGTTAATTCAATTCCAGCTAAGTGCAACCCTTTTTCAGGGTTTTGTAGGTACAGGTTACTGAAAAATGATTTCTCATTCCCTTTTTCTGGGGAGGGATCCCTGGGACTGTGCAGCTTGCCCAAGGCTACACAGGCTGGCTTTTCTCCTGGGAGACACAATGGGGAACGGAACTCCTGACTTGCAGCCATGTAATTACGCCAAATAAAAGAATTAGTCTAAACCATTACTAAAGTTTATCAAGGCCATAGTAAAAGAGATAATGATATTTGTACGGGCCCAGCCGCTACAGTCTGACTCACTTTCTAGGGAGTCGTCAATGTCTTCTTCAATCTGCTTGAGTGTTCCATCCTTCATGAGCTTTTCAGTGAAGACTTTGGATGGAACCAGTTCTCTCATGATCTCACCATCATCTGAAGATTTAGCGAGCCACCTGTCACAGGGAAATGTGGTTTTCTCAGAACCCTAATATGAAAGCATTAAACACACACACACACAAAAACAAGCTTTAGTATTCGATTGGCGAAAACAAACAGTGGGTCAATCACCAGAAAATCCATAAGTTTAATCATACCTACCTTGTTCTTCCTGCAACCACTACCATAAGATGAACTATCTTGCTTTACGATACGGGTAGGATAGTCTAAGTTTTATTTACAACCTCACATGCTATCTTTGAGGGACTGGGAGGAATTTTTCTACACTTGAGTAATTGTCTATGTTTCCAGCACTAACCAATTGTTCCTTCTAGCTTTTGAAATTCAAAGAGAATCCAAACCCTTGCTGAGTGTTCTATGTCTTTCTTTCATTGGCTCGTGTCAGTAGTTTGTTGCTGTTGATCTTTTCAGTTGGTTGCTATTATGTGTGCAGTAAAAAAGCGGTATGCACAAGTTTGTAAATTGAAGCAATTGTAAGTAAAGGAAACTCTATTTTTTCAAAAATTCCTTCTCCTGCAAATGTCTCAGAGTGAGTTATTGAAGCTTTAAGTACCAGGTAATGAGAAAGGGGTGGATTAATGGGAACTCGTTCCTATTCTACTCTGTGGATAACAAAGGAGAATTTTTGCTAGAAATTCAAAACTCTGCAACATAGCCAAATGCCAGAAGAATGTTATGGAGTAATTTTCTGTCACCAAGACTCACCTTGGACTTTGCTAAAAGTCCATGCAAAAGGAAAGAAACTAGAAACGAGGCAAAACAGCTACTCCTGGTTTCACTTTTGGGGAGCAGCAGCATTGCCTGTGAAGGTTTCCGGAACCACAAAATGCTCTCTGTTATTTGGCCCAATATTTTTTGCAGGGTGGGATCTGGGGACTCTCACGGAGGCCTACGGTGGGGTTGCATTTGCTCACCCCTGCCCAAAGGGGACAAAGGAGTCTCATGCATGGATTGCCATCTCGTCTCTATTCCCCAGCCAACCCCTCTAGAGGTGAAAAAGGCATCCACTGGGTTTGTATTTCTTAACCAACAAAAATCCACCTTGTATCTCATGAGACCAGGAATGAGATGAGATTCATGAAGCGACAATCTAAAGATTCTGTAGGCTTGCAAAGCATGTCAGGGAAGATAAATCTGAACGAGATCATGGACACGTTTGAAAAATGGCTATGTCTGAAAATGCAAAATAATGAAGAATCCCTCCAAACACCCTTCAGTTAATGGCGAAAGTGCCTGCAGAAATGCCATACATTAGAAACATGCTCTATGAAGAAGGGACCAGAAGTAACATTAAACGGAATAAACAGTGCTTTTCAATAATGCATTTTATAGCCATGTAAACATTGCAAACAGCCTCTGTTGAAGATGCTAAAAATAATAAAGCAACATTAAACATTTTCCTGGGGGAGATCTCCAGGCAACTGGCCTGGTTAGGCAAGGTGTTCAAGGGAAAGGAGATTATCACACAGACACTCACAGATGGTCCTGTTAAATCGAGTCATGCACAGAACATGGAAGTGCTCCTCTTTTGAATGTCTCCTCCGAGAGTTTCCGTGTTATACTATGGCTGGGATATATATATATCCCAGCCGTATATATTTGACCTTCAGCTTTCCTAATATATATATTTCCCAATGTCTGGTCAAGCACAGCAGAACAGAAGCACAACAACCTCGGGCACTCCCAGCTGCCCTAGAAGACTCTTTAGAGTCGGTGGGTCTGTTGTTAAAAACAGTCGTGTTTGTCAGTTCGGTTTGTTGTTTGATCTGTTCAACTGTAAGTAAATGAAATGTTTTTATTATTCTCTTACAAAGGTCTCTGAGTGAGACTGTAAATACTATTTGATTAGAAAAAGGGGGGAAACTAATTTGGGGGATCTGAAGCTATTCTGCTCTATGAATTTTTGCACTTCTGCTGTGCCGCTAGAGGAATTGAACCAAACATTCAAAACTCTGCAACAGCTCGTCCATCTACACATCTTCCTTGGAATGTTGCTAAATCTCTGAACCAGGGGACATCAACAGGTGCTCATACCCCCATTTCAGAGAAGCTTTTTCATCACTATGACATAAAAGGAAAGAATTATTATTATCCCCTTCCACAACTGCTGTGAGATTATGAATGATCACTGCCTCGCCATCCGCTATTTTTACAGGGTCAGCCCTACCAATAGACAGAGAAGGTCGTCACTTCAATCAGCAGATTTGGAATGTCATGAAAGATCAAATCAGTTATTTAATTTATGGGTACTACAATGGGTTATTCTTGCTTCTTCTTTTTTTAAGAGAAGAGGCACTTGTGAGATTTTCTGCCCAGGGGTTAAAATTATTGGATTGGCATCCAGGACACTGTGATTTGACTTTGCAAGGAAGGAGGGGGAAAGACTCTATTGTTATGCCACAAGAAGAAAGGGGGAGTGGGGACAGTGCTGGGAGAAGTTATTTTTTAAGACTACAGATAAGGTATTGTATTCCTGAAAACGCAGCTTTTCTGAGCTGTGCCCTTAGGTTTTCCCTGGCTCTTTGCATTTTTTTTAAAAAAACCTGAATATTAAAAGTCAAGGAAGATGTAACATCACATTGAATTTAACAGCAGATCCTGTTTGCCCCCCCACACACACACACACATACATTTTATCCTCTACAGAAAGCTTTGGACACTCTACCTACGGTCATTTCTCCTGGACCCGGCAACTTCCTATCTCCTTAAGCAGTTGCCGCATATTAAACTATATGTTAGTGATAGCTCGTGATTAGAAGCTGAAGATCCTTAAGCACTGGGAATGTCAGACTGTCACAGCAGGAGCTTTTTGCACCTCCTGTAGTTTGCAGATTAGCTTGCTTTGTTTTGAGACTGGATTTTGGCTCTAAACACAGGGTTTATTTCCAGCCAGGGTAGTTCAGTCACGAAGAGCTGCAGGAATCCTTCTCTAGAACACCAATAGCTTTCAACGTCTATCTGTCCTATAAATATATTACATGAAATGTTATGCAACTATAAGATGTAAATATTAGATAAATATAATATGTGATGGAGGAGCTTATTTGTGCCTCGCCACCCCCTGTGTCCTGCACGGTTAGAAGAAACAAAGCTGTAAAATACTCTAACCATTTTCCCTTGCTCGCTCGCTCTGTATGATCAGGAGAAAAAAAAAACAGATTGTGATTAAATGTTCCAACGCCCACCCCCCGTGCTCGGCACAACAGCTGAAACATAATTATGAGATCTAACTGGCACACCTTGGCCCGGCTTTAGCCCTCTGTAGTGAATTCTGCGCGGCCTGCCCAAACGCTTTCAATTTAATCTGACCTCATTTTCCCCTCTCGCCGCGCAGAGACAGATGCCGAGATGCTCTTAACAGTCTAATCAGGTAGCATTGCTTTTAGAAGCTCTGGAAGCCTCTTGCTATCCTGTGGCAGGCGGTAATATCCTGCGGCTGATTACAGCATGATCATGCAGCACTCGGCTTTTCCCCCTCCTCCTGATGCACCCAAATTAAAACAAAAACAAAAACTCAGCAAGCCTGTGTGCAGCTCTCTCTGTGCTGCTTAAACACATCCCCTCTTGCTGTTCAAGGCGCTCTCATTCATCAGATTTTTATTTATTTATTTATTTATTTTATTGCCCAGGGATGGTTTGACTGTGATGAATACAAGGAGGAATGGGAAAAGTAAGCCACTCTCTCTGGGCAGAGGCAAAGCCGCCGATGTCCTCCGGGAGCTCTCCACAGTGCTGACTCTCCCCTTTGTACGCCAAAGACCTGGAGTCAAAGAGACGACTCTCTGTTGGACAGAAAATCTAGGCTTTTGCTGCTCATTGGCACTTTCTTTTCTAGCTAGGGAGGCAAATCTTCCTTGGTCTCATTCGCACACAAGAAAGAACCACCCAAAAATTTTTTTCTGCACCAAATGACAAGAGGTTAAGTCTGAGAAGGAGAATAAAGTGTTCTCTGCACAATTTTCTGCAATTAATTTGTGCAAATATCTATAAATAAACTAATAAAGTGTAAAATAATATAGAGAAAATAATAAAGTGTCCTCTGCACAATTTTGCGCAATTCATTTGTGCAAATATATGTGCACGCAATTAATTTGTGCAAATTAATTGCGCAAAATTGTGCAGAGAACACTTTATTATTTTCTGAGTCGTTATTTCATGTAAATACTGCATTAAACAAAATGGCAACGGCTGTCGCATTTTTCCATGGATAGTTCTGGATGGGTGGTTTGTATCTTTCTAAACAACTGCTAGTCTTTCTCTGCTTCCTGCACATTTCCTGCTTCTTTACTCAAGTGGAAGGGACCCTCGTTTCTCACAGAGGTCATGTTTGGCAGTTATGGAGACTTTGCAAAGGAAGAGAGACCTTGTCTCACCTCACCCTGGGCTTGAAAATCCCTCACCGAGTTATGTTGTCGAGACACCCTACATGGAGGACAATAAAAAATGCAGCAAGAAAGCTTGATATCCGCCCTTACGGCCCTGCCAGACCTCACCAATCCTATCTCAGAAACACACATCAGTATTTTTCCCAGGCACACTGTCTCCTGGATCCTCCTTTTTTCCCCCTTCAGTGTCCATTTTTCTCCTGTTCTCCTTCCCTTATATATTTTATGTGTCTGTTTGCATTTATATCTGCCTTCAATCCAAGGAGTTCAGGGTAGCACTATAATTCATGCAGCACCTCAATTGTCTATTATAGTCTTTAAAAAAAATCCACCAAGCTCACCCACTGCACATGAACAATGCCAGTTAGAAAGGGCTGCTGTTGAATCTACACTGAGCCCTGAGCCCTGATTGCTAGCCAGGTAGGCAGGCAAGCAGGCAGTGGAGGAAGAGGAAGCCATGGCAGCCACAAGGTGGTGATCTGGGCAACGACTCCCTGTGAAGAGAGGGCAGCAGCACCCCTGGAGCTGGGGAGATCGGACTAGATCTTGACATCTGCAGGGAAGGGAAGGGAAGGGAAGGGAAGGAAACTTCGATGGTCACTTTGATGACACTGTCCAACATACGTTCCCCCAGACAGGACATCTCACCAAGAAAATGGCAGATTTCTACCACCCTGCTTATCTGGATAAGCTTCCTGTGCATAATAAGGAAACGAATGACTCCCCCTCTCCCCTGTCTCACTGCTATCTGCACTTAGAAAGGGGGGATTTTTCTCCTTGAATGCAGGCTGCAATAGACAAGCAAGGCTCCTGCTTTTCAAATGACTGAATTGTCGGTATTGGTGTTACAGTACTATCATGCTGCCTCTGACTTACGAATGAGCAGTTTCCAAAATGCTCTGTTCTCAACTGCCCTGCGCAGCTCTTGTAGGCTCAAGACTGTGACTTCCTTTAGGGAGTCAGTCCATCTGATATCTGATATTTGGTCTTCCTCTTGTCCTGCTGCCTTCAAACTTTCCCAGCATGATTGTCTTTTCTGGAGACTTTCTCACGATGCACTCAAAGTAGGACAGTCTCTGTTTTGGCATTTTGTTTTGCCTCCAGAGAGAGTTCAGGCTTCATTTGATCAAAGACCCACTTTTTCATGTTTCTGGCAGTCCAGGGAATCCACAAGGACTGAATAGGGCTTATGAATTCAAATCAGACCAAAGGCTGCCAACTTCTTATATGTTTGCTGCTCCTCACTGCCTGCTCCCCCACCCTTTCCACTGTTTTCCCAGAATATGTTTTCATGAGGCTAACTGACAAAGTGCTGAGATGCATCTTGATGGCTCAGCTGGGCATGTGACCAGGCACTGCCACCTCATCAATTAGCCACAATTAGCAAAATTTATGAAAACATCAATGGGATTCTGGCCATTGTGTTGTTATTATTATGCTTGTCCTTTTCATTTGTCTGTTATGTCATTATGTTTAAATCAAATAACTACTACAAATGTATGGGGAGGGGGAACAATCTTTATATTCTTGCCTCCGGCACAAAATCAGCCAGTGAGAGCTCTGTTTGATCTGTTAGTCCTAAGAATGCCAGAAGGCTCTTCCACTTTCTTTCTTGTTACACTGAACAACCCTGCTCCCATTCTTACCCTAAGAACAATCCTGGAAGGTAGGTTTGGCTGGGAGGATCTTACTTCAGGCCACCCAATAAGTTTGACAGTTGAGTAAGGATTCGAACCAGGGATGGGGGACTTGAGTTCTGCGACTCACCCTCCTGAGTAAGGATTCGAACCAGGGATGGGGGAACTTGACTCCTGCGACTCACCGTCCAGTTGGACTTAAGTTGCACTGGTGACTTGAGTTGGACTCGATTTTCGGGATTTTTTTTCCCAGTGACTTGGGCTGGATCCAGTTGGACTTAAGTTGCACCAGTGACTTGAGTTGGACTCGATTTTGGGGATTTTTTTTTCAGTGACTTGGGCTGGAGTTGCAGCTCGGAACCCACCCACCCTTCCCTTCTTACTAGGGAAAATAAGCTTGTTTTTAATAGGGACTCATGCTTGGGATTTGGGGTGTGATACAGAAGACTCGAACTCAGACCCAAAGACTCACCAACACTTAAGTTGCACCAGTGACTTGAGTTGGACTCGATTTTGGGGATTTTTTTTTCAGTGACTTGGGCTGGAGTTGCAGCTCGGAACCCACCCACCCTTCCCTTCTTACTAGGGAAAATAAGCTTGTTTTTAATAGGGACTCATGCTTGGGATTTGGGGTGTGATACAGAAGACTCGAACTCAGACCCAAAGACTCACCAACATCCCTAATTTGAACTGTGCCTGTCCCAGCACTCTGTGAGGTTATACTCTCTCTCCTCCTTTCCCATTTTCCCACCACCACCACCACCACCAGATCCCCTGTGAGCTATCTGGTCCATTTCTGCAAGGCTGCCTTGCCTCTCCTGGCATCAGTTTCTCTGCTCGCCTGCCTCTCAGATGCTCTTTCCACGGTACTTCCCATCCCACTGCCTTATTAGAGAGAAAGTTATTATTACAGGAAGCAGAGGAGAAGCCAGGCACACAGGGGAAACAATTGGGCAGCTGGAGAGACCAAAGCAGCTTAGAGACAGCCGTCAGAGGCTGCTTGCTTTCTCTCCCGCCCCCTGGCATGCAGACGGAAGCCTTCTTTGTTCCTAGAGCTGGCTTTCTTCCGGATTCAGAGGAAGGAGCTGTCGCTGTCGCTGCTGCTGCTGCTGGAAAGCCAAAGGATCTAAGAAGCTAACTCTGCATAAAGTGCACCGGCGTAATCTCATAACTAGCTCCAGAGAAGAAACGGGGGAGCAGCTGCTACAGCTTTCCCAGAATCCCTCCCTTTGCCTCCTGCTCCCTTCCATCCCCCAGGGCAGAGCTCTGCTTCCCAGCCCAGCACAATCCCAATGATGAAATGGCAGAAGATCAGGCCAAGACCAGACTCTCTGTTTGCTTTGCAAGGCTGACGTTTACAGGAGTTTGCCAGGAGAGAATTGGGAGGTGGAAAGGGGTTGTCACCATGGATCGGCAGTCTGCTGCAGTAGCTCAGAGGTAGACTATTTAGAGCAGAAGTTGGCAAGATGCAGCTCCTGGCTAAATGTGGCTCCACCGATTTTTTTGTGGCCTCCGACTCACCTAGATTCCCGCCTCCATCTGTGGGGGAAAATGTCCCCCTAAAAGGAGCATTCTCACCTCTGAAACCTTCCTTTAAATCAAGCCACAGCCTAGCCTTCAGAAATCAGAGTGAGATGTCTAACTAATTCCTGTTTGGGTTTTGGAAGGCATGGCACATGGAGGGTTTCAGGGGACTCCCAGACCTTCCATCTCCCTGGGTTAGAGTAGAGATTTTAGGGTTCTAGGCCCCACTCCTAACATGCTTTACATTCACTAAGTCACTTTGGGCCAGCCAGATGCTGTCAGCCTGTCCTACCTCAGAAGGCTGGTGTGAGGGTAAAGCTAGAGGAGAAGAGAAGCATATGCCACCCTGAACTCATAGGAGGAAAGCTCATACAGGAAAGTAACTCGTTGTTAGGTGGAGCCTTGTGGTGTAGTGGCTAAACTGCAGTGCTGAAATCAAGACTCTGCTCACAACCCAAGTTCATTCCAGAGGGACTCAGATAGCCAGCTCAAAGTTGACTCACCCTTCCATCCCAATGTGTCACCTGCATAATTAAATTGTAGACTGCCAGAGAATGCTTCAAGCACGATGGGGCGGCATATAAGCAGCATGTTTTACTTTGCTTTAAATGTAAATAACAATAAATAAATTCTCCTCACCCACCCAATTCCCTTCGTCTGACTTATTTCTCCTTCCCTATCTTTAATCCATGATTTCCTCAGCAGGTTCCTACGTAGATGGCAAAGGCATCTGTCTTTGCATTTATGAGGGGGTGGATTCTGGGAAATCTGTAGCAGCTGCTCCCCGTTTTTTTTCCCCTCTGGATCTCAGGTGACTGTGGGCACTGGCGGAAAGGATCACGAACTCCAGGGGTCGGCATAGTCCAGCCCAAGGGATACCTCATATTTTTCATTTATTTAAAAAGGCTTCTTCTGTACTACAGGGGGCATCACCAGCAATTTTCCCATGTTTTTAAGCCCCCCCCAAAAATGTTTAATGCTTGGGGGGGATTAGAAGATTTCAAAACCAGAAGTCATTTCCCATTTTGAAAAGAAAAAAAAAGAAGCAGGACCCATTCTGGATTTAAAACAGCTCAGTAAAATTGTCCCCAGAGCATCCTAGAGGATATGGGGGATCTTACTAAGTAAAAATGAAAAACTGGAGTCGAGGAGTCACGAGGGAGAGGAGTAACCCTCTGAGGCCTGGGAGTGTATCGGTGGAGACTCAGCCCAGAACTCTTGAAAAAGATGCTTGATATACGCCAACCTTCATGGGCTCCTAGATAGAAGTCCAGTGTACAAGGTAAAGGTTCCCCTTGACATTTAGTCCAGTTGTGTCCAGCTCTAGGGCGCGGTGCTCATCCCCATTTCCAAGCTATAGAGCCAGCGTTTGTCCGAAGACAGTTTCCGTGGTCACATGGCCAGCACAACTAGTCACAGCATGCCGTGACCTTCCCACCAAGATGGTACCTATTTATCTCCTCGCATTTACATGCCTTTGAACTGCTCGGTTGGCAGGAGTTGGGACAAGCGATGGGAGCTCCCTCCGTCACATGGATTCGATCTTACGACTGCTCGTCTTCTGACCCTGCAGCACAGAGGCTTCTGCGGTTTAACCTGCAGCACCACCATATCCTTGCCAGTGTACAAACACAAGCATAAATATATAACACATACATTGTTGAAATACCACAAGCTTCCACAGCTCACCTGGAGTCATCCTCAAAATATCAAACCTGGTTAGCATAGCCCTCTGGACTCCCCACCCCCCAAAAAGAGGGAGATGCAACAAAGGGACAAATGGGCCAATACTGTTGCTCCTATCGCTGAGAGCTTATAAATGCTACCTTTCTGAGACCCATAATCCCCCAGCCGGCTGAGTACTGGCCATGGCAAGTATTCTCAGGCCTGGTCGTCCAAAAATCCTAACATTTGCAAATCTTGCCTATGTGACCCTTGGAGGGAGGCGGGGAGTTGCGGTTTGCCTTAGAACGATCAATATGTTTCTGCCTGCCGTGAGATTCAAATCAGAGCTCCGAATTGGTTTCAGGGGTTGTCTCTCCTGATCTCCTGCAGTGGGAGATCAATTCCAGTGAATTGAAGGCAGGGAGCAAGAACTTCAGCAGCTTACCTTTCCGTTGGGCAAAAGCCGGCGTATCTCCACTCGATTAAGATGCCATCCTGAATAAATCCCTGAACCATCATGGCCAATGCGGATCTTTTCAAGTATATCTCCAACGTCTTCTAGCTGGAAGGATTTGGGGAAATGTTACGGAAGCCGCCAAAGCTTTGTAAACTACGGCGCTTCGCAGCTAGCATCAAACCTCACTTGTTCTTTTCCTCTGTATCTTCTTTTTCTTCATGGGCTAAAAATGGTAGCAAACAAGCTGATGCCGTCTTAAAAAGCAGCTGTCCTCAAAATGTGTGAGATCCGATGCAACTTCTCTGCTTAGCACCTTTTAAGCTACCTAGAGACTTAGTTGAAGTCACTGAAGCTTCTGGATGTGATAAAATACTGGGATTTACACTTCAAAAATACCTGGAGGACCACCCTGTTCTTTCTCATGTCTAACATAAGAGCCAAAAGGCTAAACTAAAATCTGGCTCCTGTTTGCTACAGATCTGTAAGAAGTTTTTAAACTCATCCCAAAATCTTCCTGCTTGAACTCCTGGATTTTTGTCCAAATTCTCCTCTTCCCTTTTAATATTTTATTTATTTGTTTGTTTGTTTGTTTGTTGCATTTATACCCCACCTATCTAGTCATTTCGACCACTCTAGGCAGCTTACAACATAAAGGATAACAAGTTCAAGAAAAATTTATAACAATTAATTAATTAAATGATTCTGCAATCATGGGCGTCAACATAGACTAGAGCTGTAATTTTCACACCTGTTTCATTTATTTAGGCAGCAGGAACTGCTGTCTGAGGAGGAGATGAGGATTGATAATATGGTGACAGACATCTTCAGAAATATTGTCAAGTGTGGGTTTCTTGAACAGCTAGCAAACCAGACACTGCAGTAGCTTGGTGTCCTTTTCAAAGTACACTGCTGTATTCAAAGAGTTATAACACTATATTATATTGTCTTATGCATCTGGCTACAGAGTCAGAGGTTGGGAGTTGGATTCCCTGCTGAGCCTCCTGTGAGAAGAGCTAGCCTGTGTAGCCTTGGGCAAGTCGCGCAGTCTCAGGGCACCCCCAGTTGTAGATGCAATCATTCCACAACTCCCATCATTCCACAGACCTGAAATTTTGATGTTTTCATTGCATTTGCCCTCAGTTCTGTTTGCTTCCCATTTTTTAGCACCTTTTAAGCTACCTAGAGACTTAGTTGAAGTCACTGAAGCTTCTGGATGTGATAAAATACTGGGATTTACACTTCAAAAATACCTGGAGGACCACCCTGTTCTTTCTCATGTCTAACATAAGAGCCAAAAGGCTAAACTAAAATCTGGCTCCTGTTTGCTACAGATCTGTAAGAAGTTTTTAAACTCATCCCAAAATCTTCCTGCTTGAACTCCTGGATTTTTGTCCAAATTCTCCTCTTCCCTTTTAATATTTTATTTATTTGTTTGTTTGTTTGTTTGTTGCATTTATACCCCACCTATCTAGTCATTTCGACCACTCTAGGCAGCTTACAACATAAAGGATAACAAGTTCAAGAAAAATTTATAACAATTAATTAATTAAATGATTCTGCAATCATGGGCGTCAACATAGACTAGAGCTGTAATTTTCACACCTGTTTCATTTATTTAGGCAGCAGGAACTGCTGTCTGAGGAGGAGATGAGGATTGATAATATGGTGACAGACATCTTCAGAAATATTGTCAAGTGTGGGTTTCTTGAACAGCTAGCAAACTGGACACTGCAGTAGCTGGGTGTCCTTTTCAAAGTACACTGCTGTATTCAAAGAGTTATAACACTATATTATATTATCTTCTGTATCTGGCTACAGAGTCAGAGGTTGGGAGTTGGATTACCTGCTGAGCCTTGTGTGAGCAGATCCAGCCTGTGTGGCCTTGGGCAAGTCGCGCAGTCTCCTTGGAAAACCTTAAGAGGATCACTCTAAGTCAGAATTGACTTGGCAGCACACGGTTATGATTTAAAAAGTCATCCCTAAAAACAACAATGTTGTTTTGTCGTTGTAGATGCAATCATACCACAACTCCCATCATTCCACAGACCTGAAATTTTGACGTTTTCATTGCATTTGCCCTCAGTTCTGTTTGCTTCCCATTTTACAGTATATAATTACACCTATGTAATCAGTTTGCAGTTGAAATTTATTTCCTGTAATATATTTGAAGTCCTAACTTTTTTTTTCAAGGAAAAGAAATGCTATCTGTGCTTTTCGCTTTGAAGAAAAATGCCTCTCCTTGTCATTACTGGACATTCAATGATGATAAAAATGCCAGCATTAAG